ATGGGGGGCCAAGGGGAGGGGAGAGTGGGGGAGGGCCTACTCTGGCCCCCCAGCCCACACTGGCCCCGCCCTCAGGTGAGCCCCGGAGTTCTGAGGGAGGACCGGGTAAGACAAAATCCCTGGGTCCTTAGGGCCCCCCCACCCCCAAGATTAAATTCTTGGGAAGACAGCCGGGACGGTCTTGGAAGCCTGGGTCCCAGAGGGTGAGGGCTATGACCTTGAAGCTTCACAGCGCCCCCCCAACTCCAACCCCACAGCTCCGGATGGCCAGGAAGGGGGGCGGTGGTGAGAGCAGGGGGAGGCGCGTGGTGGGGAAAGCAGCCGGCCCACAGCGCTCCTTGCCCGCCCCCCCCCCACACCAGCTGTCTCGACAGGTGAGTCAGGAAGACAAAGGCCCCTCTTCCCCCAGCTGCCGCGCCCCCTCCCTCCCCAGGACCGCGCAGGTGGGGGCGAGGGGCCGCCCTTCTGGCCCGGGGCCAGGGAGTCGCCCTCCACTCTGAGCGCTGGAGCTCCGTCCTAGGCACCGCTGGTTTCAAGCAGAATGTGGGTGGGGAGCGGCGGGGGAGGGGAGTCCCAACCAGACCCTCGAGGCTGCATCTGGGTCCGTGGGTCCGTCCGCACCAACCTCCACAGGAGGACGAGAGCCCCCCAAATTTAGGGGGTTAAGTAACCCCGAAGTTAAGCGAGGTCCCACATGGGAAGGCTTTTTCCAGCGCCACGTAAAGGGAGACCCCGCAAGCCAAGGTCTACGTCTCAAATCTCTCTTCCAGGTCCCAGGGACCCCCAAACCGGCCCCCCATCCCTCCCAGAGCCCAAGTTGAGATTTGGGGAGAGTCTGAGCCCTGCCTAAATCCTGGCCTCCATGCAGGGAGTATCTGCCAACTTGGAGGTTCTCTGAAAAGTCTTTAAGAAATTCGGGAGTCCTCGGAGCGCCCCCAAATCTAAGGGCTCCCAGGAGAGCCTCACAGGCACCAACCACCCCAAGCCTTAGGAGTCATGGCGAAGTGGTCAGTATTTGGAACTCGTCCAAGGGGGCTCGGCCTCAAATCCGAGGCCCCCAGTGCCCTGTCCCCAAATTCCAGCCCGGAGCAAAGCTGGGGGAGGGGGACAAAGGCGGGGCGGGGAGCCCGCGCTGAGCGCGGAGGGTTTGGAGGCAGTTCGAGGCTCACCTCATGGCTGCTCAGCGGGAGGGCGGCGCACCCACGGGTGGGTGCTCCCGGGGCGCCCCTGGCTCAAGGTTCAGGGGTTCGGGGCTGGCTCCAGATTCTGCTCAGTCTCCCCCAGGGTCCCGCCCCATAGAGTCCGGCTTCCTGGGGGGGAACGTGGACGGGGCCGGGGCGGGTCCTCAGGCGCCTCCTCCCTCCGGAGGTTTGATCGGGGGTCCCTGCGGCAGAAAGGGGGTGCGGCGTCCCGTCCCCGGCGCGCCCCCTCGGCCGGCGGCGGATACAATGTTACTCTTACTACTGTACTTCTCTTCGCTACATTTCGTTCCAAAATTCCACTCCCCGCACCCACAATGCCCTGCGCCTTAAAGGGGCCGCGGACACCTCAAGACAGTGGCGTGGGGGTGTGAAGGGCGCTTAAAAGGGCAACGCGGAACTCTAGACTTCCGCTATTTACCTCTTCCCCAACGGTATTGCATAGAGATGCACGCCGAGGGTCACCCCCAAATTAGAGGGCAAGTTTGGTGGAGGTAAGGGATCGATCCCTCGTTCTCTCGCACGATGGAAATTCTTAGGACCTTAATGAGGACACAATTTCTTCTCACCCTACCCAACGACTTCTCCATTTCTTCACATTCTGCTCAGTTTGGGGGGGGGGGAGGCGAAGACGATCCTCTGCTTAAACACAGATTCTCTCAGATTTTCTCCCTTAAATGCTACCTTCAGACCCGCAATGTCTCTCTTCTCTGCCAATTTATGAAGGGCTACTAAGGGGTGAACCCCCTTTCCCAGCACAGGAGGGGGATGGGAGTGGAGGGTCCCATCCCTCTCACCGCTCCCCCCCCGCCCGCCCCAGGAAGGTGAGGAGGAAGTGGGCCGAGGGGGCGCGGCCGGCCGCTGACTCACAGCCGAGGGGTGGGGGTGGGGGTGCGGCGCTGGACCTGGGTGGGGATGGGACTCCAGGTTCCCGTGTGGATAAAGCCCCTGGACCTCTCCCCACGCACGCCCCGCCGTGACTCAGTTTCTCCCGCAGAGGATGGCGGGATCATCCAGCAATAGGAGGGCGCGGAGGCAGGGGCACCCACCCTAGTGCTGGCTCCTGGGAACCCCCTCCCCCACGCGGCGGCTTGGGGCTCAGCCCCAACACCCTCCCAGGCTTCCGCAGCGAGTCCCGCAGGCCCCGCCCCATGTGACGCCACTAGTGGCCCCTCCCCTCCCGTAGAGCGCCACCTGGCCCGAGTCAGGTGCCCTAGGCGTGTGCAGGATGCCTGGGAAGTCATCAGGGCAACGTTCACAAATGGGTAAACTGAGGCCTGGAGGTAAGGAGTAAATCTGGGCCGCAGCCCTCTTGCCTGAGCCCTCAGAATCACAGTGGTGCCTGGGTGCGAGGTAGGAGTGTGAAACCAACAGTTCGCAGGGCACAGCTGACCAGGTAAAGGAATCACCTTTCCCAGGCTTTATTCAAGCCTGGCCCTCTACCTGGATGCTGTTCTGACCTTCTTCACTTCATCCTTTGAGGCCATGCTCTGACATTAATTCTTCTCTAAAGAACTGAGTAATCTCCCCTATCTACCCTGCTCTGGGAGTTCTTGAAGGCTAAGCCACCTAGGTTGTAATTATTTCCCACTCTGTCTCCTCAGCTGTAAGTTCTTTGGGGACAGGGATAGACTTGATCAGTTTCTTTGCCTCACTCAATCTAGCCAGGCCCAGAACAGCAGCTCAACACACATTTATCTGACAGAACGAGAACCCCAGTTCTTTGTGACCTCAGGCAACTTTTTTCGCCTCTCTGTGGCTCAGCTTTCCCATCTGTGAAATGGGAGGGCTAGTACTTCTGTGTGCCGCCTGCATTTCGTTCAGCAAAGTTTCCTTTCTTTTCTCTTTTAAGATTTTGTTTATTTATTTATTTATCAGAGAGAGAGAGCACACGATGAGCAGGGGGAGCAGAAGGCAGAGGGAGAAGGAGGCTCCCCGCGGAGGAAGGAGCCCAATGCGGGCCTGATCCCAGGACCCTGAGATCATGACCTGAGCTGAAGGCAGATGTTAAACTGACTGAGCCACCCAGGCGTCCCAGCAAAGTTTTCTATAAAGGTCCAAATAATAAATATTTGGGGCATATCAGACATAGGGTCTCTTTCACATATTCCCCTTTTTCCTCCCATCCTTTTAAAAATGTAAAAACCATTCTTAACTCAGGTGCTGTACAAAACAGGTGGCAGGACCCGTTACACTAGAGAGACTGGCATATGTACACAGGAAACCTGATCAAGGATCTTTGTGGCAGCAGCGATGCGAGCAAGAAATTGGGAATAGTTTAAATGACCATCAAGGGGCGCCTGGATGGCTCAGTCCATTAAGTGTCTGCCTTTGGCTCAGGTCATGATCTTGGGGTCCTGGGATCGAGTCCCATGTGGGGCTCTCTGCTCGGCAGGGTTTGCTTCTCCCTCTCCTTCTGCGCCTCCCTCCTGCTCATGCTCTCTCTGACTCTTTCAAATAAAAAAATATTAAAAAAAAATGTCCATCAAAAGAAGGATGGATAGCGAAACCATTGTAGATCCCCTTGTCTGCAGTGCTGGGCGGCAGCAGAAAAAAAAATGAGGTATGTAAATGGCATGAAAGTAGTCTCAAACATATCACTGAGGGGAAAAAAAAAGAACAATTGCCAAGTGATACAGAGTATGAAAAAAAGCAAGGAAACACCAAAGGTACCACATACGTGTGTGTACACGCAGAGTAAAAAGGTCTGGAAAGATCCACGCCAAACTCATTACACTGGTTACTGATAGGATAGAGAATGGGCATTTGACGGTCAGAGACATCTCAAGATATCCCAAGCCTCATCTTGAAAATGCCACGTTCTATCCAGCCTCTAGGCTTTTGCACTGGCTATTCCTTTTGCCTGGGGACACTCTTCCCTGGCATACTTGCATGGCTGGCCCCTTCTCAAGAGTGCTTCCCTGATCCCCCTATTTAAAACCCCAGGTGGAAAACTGAGTGGCTAAGGAGTAGGGTGGAGGAAGACTTCTCTTTTTTCTTTCTTTCTTTCTTTTTTTTTTTTTTTAGGGGCAGCCCGGAGCCAGCCAGGCAGTTTTATTGAAATATTTTTAAATAATTTTCACGTGTTAGTCTCATGGGTCAGCAATGCTTTGTCTGGTTCAGTGATCAAGACTTTTCATTTTTTTTTTAAAGGATTTTATTTATTTATTTGACAGAGAGAGAGCACAAGCAGGGGGAGAGAAGAGGGAGAGGGAGAAGCAGGCTCCCTGCTCAGCAGGGAGCCCAGCTGAACGGCTTGGGGGCTTGATCCCAGGACCTTTCATTTTTGTACAACATTTTGTGCCCTTTGAATTTTGAACCAAGTGAACTTTTCCCCATTCCAAAAAAAAATACAATTAAACAAAAGCAAAGTAGCTCCCCTAGACATCTTATCACCCTGTCCTGTTTTACTTTCCTTGAGACACTCATCAGTATCTGAAATGATATCACTTCCCTTGTTCGCTGTCTCCCCCACACACAGGAGGAGGTGGGCCCCCAGGGAGAGGGAGGGGCGGGATCTCAGTGGTTCTGCCTGGTTGATGGCTGTGAGCAGGGCCTGGCACACAGCAGGTGCCCACTACATATCGGCCAAATGACAAGACAACTAAGGTCTGGGTTGTTGTTGTTGTTTCTACAAGAGAAATTTATCTTGAGTTATATATCGTTAAAATTTAATAATAAATACTCTCCCCTAACTCCCCCCAAAACAGATGAAAAATGGGAATGGAAGAGAAGGTTATTGAACTGGGTGATCACGCAAGGGTCCATTCAGCTCAAAATATTTCAAAAACACTTGATTTGGTTTGGGGTAGTTTTTTGTTTCTTTCCTTCTTTTTTTTTTTTTTTTTTTAAGTTCAGAGGGTGGGTGGAATTTCCCCTCATAAGACTTTCTGTGAGAGGGAAGGAGGAGAAGGGGAAATAAGCATTCCGGGGTTCCTCCATCTGTTTGTCTTCCTTCCGCTGGTCTGTGTAGCTGGGGAAGAGGTTCTCTTCCTTAGTTCCTTTGAGGCCGCGGCTGGGCAGAGGATCCCCAAAGGGCAACGGCTGTCAGGGCTTCCAGTCTAAGGAAGAGTCTGAATGGGTGCCAGTGGGCTTTCCAGCCCCATTTGGGCCCTTCTGCAACAAAGAAGGTGGGAAATGGCTAATAAGAACCTCTTCTTGGTTCTCAGTATCTGCTCCCCTCTATTCTGGAAGCACCACTCCTATTTGCCTTTGAGGGGCCACCATTCCCCATCTCCCAATCCATTTGGTTTGGGTGGAGTGGACCTCAGCCCCAAGCGCTAGGGGTGGGCACATGACCCCAGCCTGGCCAGTCAGAGACATGGTGACTGGTCAGACATGTGGTCCAGTGTGGCCAGTGAGAACCAGCCGTGGAACCAGGGCTTCCGCTACTAGGAACCTGGTGAACTCTCTCCACTGGGGATGTTGGGCTCCTGGGATGGGAGGCTAGAAATGCAACTCTCTGCTACCTTGTGCAGAGATCCTGCCTGCAAATGAAGTCAGTGATGAGAAAGTAAAACTGAGAGGTGCTTCCTGATGACATCATCTGACAACTGGAGTAGTCATGCCTTCTGTCCTTGAAGTCTTCAATGACATGACCCAGTAAGTTCCCTGTTTTGCTTTCCCATGTGGAATTGGGTTTCTGTCAATTGTAAATCAAACAATCCTCACAAATACCTCCTACTGCTGCTGGGGAATTATCAAAAATCCCCCCCTCCTTCTCCTCCAGGTTATTTACCTGAATTCCCTTCTCTGCCATGCAAAGGACTGGGGGCTTGAGGCCCAACTCCCTCCCTCCCATTTCCTCCCTGACTCCACCACCTCTTTAGACAGCTCCAAATTCTGTCTGCGCCCAATTCACCACTTCTCTTGTCCAAGACCCAGACCATCCTCAGAGATGTCCCTGGTGGTCTCTGCAGCACATTCAGGGCTTGGGATTGGTCATAAACATTCCTGGAATTTTTCTGCCTTATTTATGGATGGAGGGGGTGGTGCTTGGGATGATGGGGCCTTACAGAGTAATGCAGGGGACACATGTCTCCGGAAGAAGAGCAGTCTCTTCTCCGCTTCTGCTTACCCCCTCCCCTGCCCCCATCATGTCTAGCACAACGCTTCAGGGCCAGGAGTGAGAATTTATTAATATACCAGGTAAGTCCCTTGTCTCCTCTGGCCTCAATTTCCCCAACACTAAAGGAGGTAGGAGGGCTGGGTTACAGGCTTCCAAGAGAAACATTCAAGAACATAGGGTCCTTACCTGCCAGTGGCGTCCTGGGGCCTGGCAGAGCTGAGAATAAGCTTCAGCAAGGACAGCAGCCCTGGAGAGCCGAGAGAGACCCTCAGGAGGGGATCTTCCTTCTACCACCCCCCCATCCCACCTCACCACCCCCCAACACACTCACTTGCAGTACAGCCCTCCCCCAGGAGGTAAATCTGGGATGTCCTCTGAGGCCAGAGTCCAGAAAACCGTGTTCAGGCTGGGGGGCTCCTGAGCAGAGGAACACAGCTCTGAGAAGGAGGCAAGGATTACGGGGATGTCCTTGCCCGCTGACCACCCCTCCAGCTATGCTTCTGGAACCTGCTCACCGGCGACCCTGCGGCCCAGGGCTGCGTCCAGCGCTAGCTCCTTCCTGATCGCCTCCTCACAAGGCCTGGGGGCCCCGGGGAAGCAAACCAGGATGCAGGTCATGTTGTCCAGGCTGCCCTGGAGAAAGTGGGGAAAAGGGAGCCTGGTGGGACACGGCTGAATGCCCCCGCACGGGGCTCCATGCCCTTGGAAGCACAGCTTCCCAACAACCTCAGCGTTCTAGTGCCCACCTCCCGAGTCTGGTTCAGCCCCTTCCTCTCAAGTCTTGCCCATCTGCCTGTCTAAACCAAGTCCTCCCACCAGGACCAGTCATCTAGACCACTTCCTCTCACTGTTCTAGCCTCACTCTATCAGAGAACCGCGCCCCTTCGCCGAAGCTCCTCCCACTCCACTGCCCTGTTGCTCTCCCTTTTGGCACTAATCTTACCCTAAAACCTGGGGCAGTCCGTTCCAAAAGATCACGCCTTTTCTCTTAAGTCCCTCCCACTTGCCTATCCAGCTCTACAGGGTTCTCCCATCTTGCTTCTAGACAGCCCTCAGTCTCCGCCCCCTCCATATTATGGCCCTGCCCACTTCGGCAGGCCACGCCCTTTAGTGGAACCTTACCCCTCTAGTTTGAGCGAGCCTCTCCCTCAAGATCCCTCCTCCCTAGATCCTTTAAATTCTTCCCCTCAGTGACTCCAAGCCCCGCCCTCAGGACCTTGCACAGACACGTGTCCAGTAGCTGCGCACAGAGAAGCTCCGGGGCCAGGCCCAAGCAGAGGCGCGATGCTACCAGTCCCGCCAGGGCAGCGCCAGACATCGCGTCCCACACACCGTCGGAGGCCAATAGCAAGAACTCATCCTCACCCTGGCGAGCCAGGGCGGTCACCTCAGGTTCCGCGGAAACGAGCTGCAGCTCAGGGGGCCTTCCCGGAGCTTCTTTGTAAGCAAAGTCGCCCAGCGCTCGGGATACTGCCAGAGAGCCTTCAAGGCGCCGGCGGCGGATGATGCCTCCCGCGTTGTGGATGCGCTCGCGTTCTCGGGGCCGGAGGGGCCGATGGTCCTCGGTGCTGAAGGCCACGGCGCCGGCGCGACTCAGCATCGCTCGGGAGTCACCGCAGTGCGCCAGGTATAGAAATCGCGGGGAGACGAGCAACGCCACGGCGGTGGAGCCCCCCGGCTCGCCCCGAGGCCAGAGCGCACGCAGCCGTGAGTCTGCGCTCAGAAAGGCTCGGCGTAGCGCCCCACGCACTCCCTCGGGTTCGCCAGGCGCTGGGCCCAGTGCCTCGAGCACGTGGCCCGGCAGGTGGCGCGCGCCGAAGAGGGCAGCTCGCGCCCCGCCGTGGCCGTCGAGGACCGCAAAGAATGCCCAGCCTGGCGGTAGCCCGGGCAGCTCGAGCCAAGCGCAATGCGCGTCCTCCATGTGCGCGCGCCAGCCTTGCACAGCGCTCGCCCCGAAGCGCAGGCCACAAGACGCGGCCGCACCCCCGTGCGGCCGCTGGACGCATCGCGGCGCGTCCAGGAGCAACTGAGGCCCGTGCTGAGTCCTGTGCCCCTCCTCCTCCTCTTCGGACTCCTGTTTTTCGCGAGCTGGCCAGAGGAGACGCTCCAGCAGGCGGGCAAAGGCAGCCATCCTTCAGCCCTGGGATCAGGAAGCCTCCACCCTCAGCACCTGCCCCCGCCCCCACACTCCATTAATCCCCTCCACTGTGAGATTTTAAACCACCTAAATATCCTTCCTGTGCCCTTGACCTGCACTCAAGTCGAGTTACTAGGAGAGATTGGATTCTTGGGTGTCCTCTTTCTTGCACCTATAACGTGATGTTTGGGATCTGGGTCACGGAAAAATAGTAGTAGTAAACAGCACTTACCATGTGCTACCACTTTTACATCATCTCCGATGTACCGAAAAGGAAACTGAGTCATAAAAGAAGTGCTGCAGGGAAACAAACTCTAGAATTCATGTTCTCTACACTCTTAGCTTCGGGTCCCCAGCTTTGCTCTCTCTAAAATCCTCCCACGTCAGTGGTCCCGCCCTCAGTTTCAAAATCTTTAAATCCTTTATTTTTTCAGTTCGACCCTTCCACTTCTGGGTCTTGCCCCAGGGCTTCAGTTGCTTCTTTTCCAGGTCCCACCCATCCATTCAAACACACAGCCTCAGAGGCTCCTAATTTTCGCAGTTTTAGCTCCGCCTCTTAACTACAGTCCCAGTACTCACATTCTGGCGAGTCTGGCCTCCTCTCGGTAGGTTACGTCTACCTTCTGGGCCGCGCCCTCTCTCCTGCCTGTATTTTCCTAGGCCCCGCCTCTACCTTCTTGGTCTTTGACTCCGCCCAACTACCTACATAATTCTAAATTAACTTAAGCTCCACCCATATCTGAGCCCCTCCCCTTGTCTCAAACTTTCTGAATAGTTTCTCCTGCCCCCTATCCCATTCCCTCTGAAGTTCTCAGCTCGGACCCTACCTCGGCTCGGTAGAGTCTTTATACCCTCTCCTGAATGCCTCCCCTAGCTCCGCCTCAACCCACTCTGAGATCCACGCCCTCATTCTAGGCGCCTTCACCATTCTCCCCGGGAGCCCCCTCCCCTGCCCTACCCTAGGCTCCTCCTCTCTTCCGCTAGAGGCCGCGCCCCCTCCCATCAGGCTCCGCCCTTCAGACCGCCTTCCGCGCCTTTTTGGCCCAGTAGCATAACATAGCCCCGCCCCTTTCGTAGAAAGCCACGCCCTCTCCCTTGCCCCTCGGTGTTTACCGGCGCCCCCGCCCTTCCTTAGGTTCCGCCCGGCTGGTCCACTGGCCCCGCCCCCGGCCCCGCGCTGCAGTGCTTTCCCCGCCGCGGCCCCGCCCGCCCCCGCCGAGCGGAGCAGAGGGCGGCGGCGGCGGCGGCGGCGGCTGCTGCTGCTGCTGCTGCTGCTGCTGCTGGAGCGGCCCGGGAGGAGGAGGCGGCGAGGATGGCGGCGGCGTCGTGGGCGCGGCGGAGATGAGCACCCGCGGCCCCAGGCCCAGGGCGGCGTGGCCGGAGTGGGCGGGGGTCCCGATGCAGGCCCGAGGAGGGCCATGGGGCAGGTCCTGCCGGTCTTCGCCCACTGCAGTGAGTAGGGGGAGGTTCAGGCCTGGTGTGGGGCCCAGAGGCCCGGGTGGGCTCCTCCCCAGTAACCCCTCCGTGCCGAGTCGCGGGAGAATTGGGATGGGGGAGGAGGCGAAGGAGACAAAGGAAGCTCTCCCCTCCCCCCGCATTCCAGCGGCGACGGGGGCGACTTGACCCGGAGGACCTGAGTGAGTCAAGGCAGAGGTTGGGGGTACTGAGATAGCTGGCGGGGGTCGCGCTGGACTCTGGGATATGGCGCCGGACCCCACCCAGGGATGAGGACGCTCTCCGGGAGCTGTCCCCTAGCCCTGGTGCTGGCCGCAGCCGGCGGGGAGGGGAGTTGAATGGAGGGGTAGAGCCAGGATAGAGAAGAGGGATCTAACCACCCCCCCATCATCCATCTTTGCATCCCACCTCCGTTTTCTGCCCAGACTCAGAGGCTGCCCCGACCTCGCCCAAATTGTCCAACATCCTGTCCCTTGGAAACAGCCATCCCTGGGTTGGGTCCAGGACTCCTGGGTCCTTACTGAGCTTTACCACTGATTAGTAGTAACCCTGGAAGACACGCATTCTACTCTGGGCTTCCGATTCCCCAGCTGCCAAAACGAGGTGGGGGCGGGGGGGGGGCATCTGATTTCAGTTCCCAAACGGTATTGAGCATCTCCTGTAGGCAAAGCCCCAAGCTAGCTCTGAGGGGCTAGGTTCCACAATTGAAAATGCCTTATCTGATCCTCACGATCTCTGAGACCAGGGCTTGAACAGCCGTCGTCTAACATTTTCTGTCTCACATCCCCGTGGTTCCCGCAGCTGAGAATTTCAACACTCTCATATCTGGCCACTTGCATGTCCTAGGAGTCCAGATGCCAAAATTCTAAGCATTTGTTATTTCAACATTAAAGAGTATCATCCCAACATCCTAAAATCTTGTCCTTACCTGGGCTTACAAAGGAAAGCCCTACATGATCCCCACCACCACAACCTCTCTGCCCTCATCACCTACCCCTCTCCCTCCCAGTCACTCTGTTCCAGTCATGCCTTCACACCTCTCTGTTCCTCAGATTTGCCAAGTATATTGCCTGCCTCAGGGCCTTTGCACTGGGCTTTTTCCTCTGCCTGGAAGACTCTTCCCTAGACATCTGCATGGCTTCCTCACTTCATTCAAGGCTCTGCTCAAATGTAATCTTATCAAAGAAGTCTTCCTGATCACCCTGTCTGAAATAGCATCCTCTCACTTTCTCTTCCCTTACCCTGCTTTATTTTTCTCCACACACTTAGCACCCAACATCATATATTTGTGTATTGTCTTTCTTGCCTGTAGAGTGTAAGCCCTGCAAGGGTAGGGATTTTTGTCTGTTTTGTTCACATTTGTATTCTCAAGTCTCAAACGGTGCCTGGTACCTAGTAGGTGTTCAATAAATGGTTTTTGAAAGAATGAACTAATTGAAACCTGCTAAAATTCCTAATTTGAAGACTCTTAAGATTAAGATTCCTGGATTTGAACTTATACAGCTGAGCTTCTGATAGCACTATAGTAAGGCTTTACAGTCTGTATGTAGAATGTTCTAAAGGTCCTGTGGTTCAAGTATTCTAAGATTCCTTAATTTGGACCGTCCAAGTTTCCAGGACTGGCACACTTCTGTGATTCCGACAGTCTAAGCTTCTAAGAATCTTCCATTCTTTGCCTCTCGCAGAAGAAGCTCCGTCTACAGCGTCCTCTACCCCTGACTCCACAGAAGGTAAGTGGAGGGGGAGAATGTGAGAGCGGGACTCAAAGGGGCTCACAGCTGGGTAGGGGGGTTGAAGAGAGTGGGTCAGGGTCCCGCTTAGTGTAGCTCATACCTTCACTTTGCTTACTGCAGGAGGGAATGACGACTCGGATTTTCGGGAGCTTCACACTGCCCGAGAATTCTCAGAGGACGATGAGGAAGAGACCACGTCGCAGGACTGGGGCACCCCCCGGGAGCTGACCTTCTCCTACATCGCCTTCGACGGTGTGGTGGGTTCTGGAGCGCGCCGGGATTCAGCTGCCCGCCGCCCCCGGCCCCAAGGCCGCTCAGTCTCAGAACCGCGAGACCCACCCCCTCAGCCCGGCTTGGGCGACAGTTTGGAGAGCATCCCCAGCCTGAGCCAATCCCCGGAACCTGGGCGCCGCGGTGACCCCGACACTGCCCCTCCGGCCGAACGCCCCCTGGAGGACCTAGGGCTCCAGCTGGACCAGCTGGGCTGGGCAGCCCGGGGAGCAGGGTCCGGAGAAGACTCTGCCACCAGTAGCTCCACCCCGCTGGAGGACGAGGAGCCCGACGGGTCGGAGGTTGGAGAGGCTGGGAAAGGTGAGATGTCAGAGGTGCTGGGACCGAAGCCACAAGGGGTGGGTGGTCTCCCCTCAGGGAACCTCCAAGGTGAAAGCTCATGGCCTTCTCTTTCTAACGCGCCAGAACTGGACCTACAACTCGGACTCCCTCAGTCCTCACCGCCGCCACCGCCGCCACCGCCGCCGGAAGTCTTGACTCTGCAGCCCAGCCCCGGCTCTGGAACCCCCCAGGCGGGTACCCCATCCCCACCCCGATCCCGGGATTCGAACTCTTGGCCTGATGAGCCCTCGCGGGACCTGAAGGAGGAAGAGCCGTGGGGGCGTCTGGAGCGGGAGCCAATCACGGGGCAGTGCCTCGATAGCACGGACCAATCAGAATTCACATTGGAACCACTCCTTCTAGGTAAAGTGCTCCTTTGGACTACAGTGAAGGTGGGAGGGTTGGAATTTAAAGGGACCAACCTCGCGAAGGAAGTGAGGAGAGTGGAGAAGAGGAGGTATTACTATTGGCTAGATATAAACTCCGCCCTTTGAAAAAAATTCCCCGTTACCTACGATTGCCATTGGTTCTTTTTATAGTTCTCCCTCCCACTTGAGGCGTGAGCCCTCCTTTGAGCATTAGGATTGGCTGATGACTAAAAAAAAAAAAATCCCTCTTTTGGAGTGCTCCTCCTAGAGGCTGATTTTGGATGGGACCAATCCCTGAAAAAATAAGGCTGTTTTCTGGTTGTGGCCATGGGACATTTACAAGTAAACTCTACGCCTTTTTAAAACGCTCCTCTTCCCTGACCTCATCCATTGGCCAGTTGCGAATAGAGCCCGCCTTCCTCTAAAATAACGCTAAGCCTCCACGAACGGCCATGGTCATTATAGACATCACTGCTTTGGGGTGTTTACAAAGAGAGCCACCCCTTTTTGGAACTGTCCCCACCTCTATGGAGAGCCATTGGCTGGGTACAAAGGGGCCCCGCCCCTTACTCCCTCCCTCCGGGTTCCACTGAAGTGGGCAAAATCCCCGAGAAGTAGCGGTGTCCACAGCCTCTCACTCGGAGCGGAGATGGGGAGTAAAGGTGGGCTTGCGGAGCGGGCTGCTGGGACCAGGGTTGGGGGATGGCGTAAATGGGTCCAGATTCTCTCTTATCTCCCTCAAATCTGCGGGTATGTTTCCTACTGGTCCCAGATTCCCCACAGCTGCAGGCTGAAGCTGGGGGGTTGAGGGGCTGTCTAGAGAGGGAGTGGAGGGAGCGTGGGGCCCCCCTCTCCCCCCGAGCCGAAGCTTTGGGGCCCAAGAGCAGGGAGGCCCCCTCCCCCAGTCTCAGGCCCAGGCGGCGCTGTCACTCAGGACCTGGACAGGCCAGCACAGCTGTGGGCCAGGCCCCCCCTCCCCCCAGCGTGCCTAAACTTAGCCCCCGCCTCAGGCGACCCGGCCCTTCCCCCACCCACTGGCACAGGTCTTGGGGAGGCTGCAAGGGAGGGCCCTGCATTGCGGGTAGGGGGAGGCCTGCCCTAGTTAGAGGTAGTTGGGAGTGTTTGTGTAAGGACGATACAGAAGTGAGGGGAGTCAGACTCTGAGGGGGACGGGTCAGAATTTGATCAGAGTGAGGGTGGGAGGGTGGAGGGTATTGGGCTACCGATCCCGGTCTGAGATGGGGTCACATTATTGGGAAGGCTGTTAACGTTTAGATGGGCAAAATGAAACATTGGAGGGGCACAGTGGGTAGAGTATGCGACTCTTGATCTTGACTCTTGATCTTGGGTGGTGAGTTCAAGCTCCACCTTGAGCACAGAACTCATTTAAAAAAAAAAAAATGAAACAGAGTCTGGAGATCGGGGCTCAGGTTGGGCTTGTGAGGTGAATTTAGCATCTCAGAAAGGGGTCAGAAATTTGAATCAGTGCGTAGAAAGGAGGATGATATTATTAATGTGTTTAGGACTTAGAAAAGTGCATGTGGGTGGGAGTATCAAGAAGATACCACTTTACACTTGTCAGGTTGGCAAAAAAGAAAAAGAACAATAACACCCCTTGTTGGGCGGGATGCTGGAAAAAGATCATGTTCAAGTTGCTCATGGAAATGAAAATTGTTAAGTTTTGCTAATAAGCAATCTGATAATATTTATGACGTTCAGAAACACAGAACTAATCCACCCAGCCATTTCACCTCTGGGATTGTATCTCAGAAATAGAACCTCTC